CCTCATGGTGGTTCTGCAGGACGCTCTGGGGATGGAGACGTGGCTTGGAGCAAATCCTTGAACCAGGTGGCCATGGATCGTTTTGTTCTTTTTTTTAATTGGACACAAGCCACCAGTTGGAGTTGTTGAAACCCTGGATACGCTACCAACTTGTCGTTCTGCTTTTGGTTAATATTTGAAGGGAAACCAACAGAACACCAGCCAGTTTGGGGTCCCATTTTGGAGAAACGCCCACAAGCTTTTCAGCTTAAGGTGCACAAGGTATGGAACACGATCCACCACTATTTTGTGAGTATCAGTCAAAAGTTCACCGCTTGCGGGTTGGGGGTCCTGCAGAGCTATCCGGAGCTGTGTCCCTCATGGGATGCACTGCAGGTACAAGGATATTTTGAACCTTTGGTATGAACTCCATAAGCGTTGGTTGTGGCTTAATATAGGATACCGCCTGCAAAGGGGTTCGAAGTTGATCCCAATGGTTCATATGTGGGTTTAGACAATCTTCTTTTGACCACCCTTCTTTCACTGGCCGCTAAATAGGGGGCTGGAAAAGAGAAAGCAATCTGTCCACCCTCTTTTGGTTTCTTTCTGGGACACCTGTGGGTAACTTAGCACACTTGCAATCTGGGATCCTTGCTCACTCGCTATGGACGTGCACAATCATTGAATGCATTACCCACCAGTGATTGACAGGGATGAGTCACTTAATGACCATAGCTGGTCGATCCTGGCAGGTGAGCATTGCTTGGAGGATGGCCCCTAAAATGGAACAGGTATCCTTTCGGTTGCATTTCACACGCACACACCTAAAGACCCTCCCTGAAAAAGACGGTTCCGTCCAGCTGTTTCCCTCAGGCAGTATCCGCCCGGAGCCACTGCCCTCGCGGAGCTCTACGGTAAGACGCCGGAGCTGCCCGCCATTAGGCCCCAAGTTGGCAAGTGGAGTCGGCTGGTTGGAAGCCCCGGGGGCCCTTTACAGGATACATTTGGTCCAGAGAACATTCACCCAACTACAAGGTGATCGAGAGGATTCCAACTTGTAAAGCAGGCGCATGTTGGAGATATCCTTTGCGGAAAACAGGGCTAGTTGGGCAACCTCCCAACATGTCAGCAGGTTTGCACTAATTACACTGGAGTTCAGGGTCAAGTGCTGAAGGACGATCCAACTGCCAGGATCACCCAACTGCCAAACGAACTACATTTGGGAGTTGTTAGTTGAGTTGGCAGGTAACATTTGTTCTCAAGACTCATTTAGGCGATTCTTAAAACAAGGGACCTCTAAAGAATGTTGTTTGCCTCTGTTTTTGGCAGACCACCCCTTTTGGAGAATCCTCTTTTTGAAAATCCCCGTTTGGCCTTCATATTTGGCCTCTTGATGCCTCTTCTCCTGCCTTTTTGCGTTTTCGCGAAAGCGGCATGCAGGCCGCATGCGAAGCCATCAGAGGAGTTCCCGGTGAGGGAGTTTGAGGTCACAAACTCGTGCGAGTGGCTTGGAGGTCAATCAACTCGCTCAGGGCTAATCATTGGGGCCGCTATCCACTGAATGGTTCTGAGAACCCTTCTAAGAAATTGTTCTGAGGAGGTTTTAGGGTCCTTTCTTGGTTGTGAGGGATCATTTGGTTGTTGACTGTGTCTTAGCGGGGGCTCAATTTGCCAAATTTGGGGTTTCCATGGTGGGTTTGTTTGTGTCTGGTGAATGGAAAGTTAGTCGCCACATGAAAAGATCGGAAGGGGTGGGAACCCTTTGCGGGTGATTTATGTTGTAAGTGGCCGAGGTTTGAAAGGAGTTGACAGAAGAGGGACAGAGAGCGAGACATCTCTCGATGGGAAGAAGTAACCCCGGGTTAACGCAATATATCAACGGTCAGTGTGTGCCATTCCAGAAAGTCCCGAAGCCAGTTGGGCGCCGTATCGAATGACCGAAGGGCAGCTCATAGGCAACCTACCATGTGTGGATTCCTTTCATTTCTAATTAAACCCCTGCTGTTGCAAAGAGACAGGGGCCCCCTTCCCAAACGTTGAAGAGGTTGGGCGCTTCCAGTCTGATTCATGTTTGTAGAGACTGGGTGTTTGTCTAGTGTCTGACCAAGGAAAGCCCCTTCAAAGTGCGCTAGTCACAGGGATGGCAGTCCACTTTGTCACAAGGGCTATCTTCCACCGATTCCGAGCCGAGGTCCTTGTTCTGCTGCTGCACCCAGAAGGACAACATGACCTTGGAGCCGGACAAGATGGTTCTCAAGAAGACCAACTGCATGGGCGAATCCGTGAACAGTGCCTCGCATTGCCAGACTTGAATGAACAAGAACCCAATGCCCATCATTTTTTAGAGGAAGCTCCTTTCAGGGCATCCCCTTCTTGGGTTCCATTGCCCTGAAAGGCCTCGAAGGCCTGGGGTTCCTCTTTTTTTTTCTCGATCAGTATTGCCAAGCTCGGAGCTGGATTTTGTAGGACACGAGATGAAGGGTCAAAAGCCGTACTGTGAATGGACAAGTCCCTGCCAAATTCCGCACGACCCAATCTGCCGATATTTGAGGAAACAAGTAATTTGGTCGGAGCTCAGATAGGTGCTGCACCGCAAGATCAGCGAGTGATAGACCTCCTCTCTGGTCCGAAGGAGTCGGTAGCTGATTCACAGCCTTACCCTGGGCATATCTCACTTACTCGGCACATGGTCCAAGCTTACTTGCCAAAGACAGGTAAGCCTCAAGGCTGGTTTGAACCTGTTGGACAAGAAACAAAGGGACTCTCCGAAACTGCGGAAGCATGTTAGCTATGACCACTGGACCTTATAGATTTCCTAAAGTGATTCCTTGTTTCGCGGACATCCCCTGGGCAAGTATATAAGATCATAGATTGCAAAACCACCCCCCCCTGAACCCCCCCCTTCCAAAGTAAGGCCAAATTAAGAGGACACATAAAAGGAAGGCCTTATTAAGGACTTAGTAGGGACTTATTAAGCCCTTATTAAGGCCTTAATTTGGCCTCAAAATTAAGGAGGAATTAAGGCCAAATTAAGACCAAGTTAATTTTTGGAAATTCACCTTTGTGGACAAATTAAGGCCTAATTAATGTTTTTGTTTGTGCAACAATGACTCAAGCCAATTCAAGCCAACAATGCAAATTGTAAAGCAGACTCAAGGCAAGACTGAGCTCAAACGCGCCAGCCTTTCAAACGAGCTATATGAAAACGCGATGTCCTGATTTACGGGTGCGTGCCTACGGTGTATTGGGTTGGGAATCACGCCAAGCTACTGTAAAGCAAAATTAAGGCCAAATGAAGGCTAAATTAAGGCCAGATTAAGGCCAAATTAAGGCCAAATTAAGGCCAAACTAGCGCAAATGCCTATGGGATTTTGGTTTAAGCACAATTAAGGCCAAATTAAGGCCAGATTAAGGTCAAATTAAGGCCACATCAAGGCCAAATTAGCGCAAATGCCTATGAAATTTGGGCTCAAGCAAAATTAAGGCCAACCTAAGGCCAAATTAGGGTCAAATTAAGGCCAAATTAAGGCCAAATTAAGTCCAGATTGGCGCACATGCCTAATGCAGCAAACATATAGCACGAAATAAGGCAAGAGTAAGGCAAACGTAAAGCCCAATTCAAGGGAACACTGAAAGTGCGCCTAGGGAATTTGAAGAAACAGAAACTGAAAGCCAAACTGAAGCAACATGAAATCCAATCGGCGGGCGGGTTGGCTACCGAGTGCGGATGGCTTCAGGAAGTTGCTTCAAAAAATAGCCCCTAATAAGCCCTAATCAGCCCTTATTTATTTTGGGGGGGTGGTTCAGAGGGGGGCTGGTTTGTAAACTATGATAAGATGTACGTAGTCAAAGGTTAGAGCGGGGCCTGCCCTGATTCCCTTTGTCTTGCGAGTCCAAGGCGCTTCAAGTTTGGGTTCCTCCTTTACTGCTGTTACAGGAGGATCAGCCCAAAACTTCCTTTGGAGTCTGCAAGTCCACAGCGAAGGCAGCTAAACAGTCGGACACCCTGGCATACCACACATCGTTAGTGTACAGTTTGTTGTTGGCTTGCTTTACGTGGCCCATCAGACTAAGTTCTGACCCTGGCGGGAGCAGGTCCGTCTCGGCGTACAAATGGTCGAATCCTCAAACTACGCAACTTCGGACTTCAACGTGACGCTGAGGCATGCCTTACGCGCAGTTGCAGTCCGTGGATGAGGGCCGCTGCTGTTATTGCTGCCGCGGGGTAAATGTGGCTTGGATGCACCAAGATGAGTAGCGTTGGCCATTTTAGTAGGTGGTCCTGCCACTGGTTTCAAGGGGGTATTGTAAGGGCTACATACAAGTCAGCAGAGTTTGGGCGCTGCTGCGATGATTCCCCGCAACCCACAAGACAGCCTCACCCAGTTGGGGTCTAAGGGGGGTGGTGTGTCTTGTTCCGTGCAAACTTTTGGGAAACCACTCTGCCCGCTTGGGTGTTTCTTGTTTGGGCCCTCTTTTTACTAGGCATTGTTCACCTTAAGCACCAGGTGTTGATGTTCATTCCAGAAACGGGAGGTTGGGGGGTCTTGTTTTCAGGCTGCAGCCATAGAGGAAAACCGGTTTTGCGGAATTTGTTTGCTTGTTGCCCAAAGAATCTTGGGACCTGAACATTGCCGCAATTTGAGGCTCAAAACCTTGTGGATATCCCTATTCCCCTCCAATACAATGATGTTTAAGGTGTTGGGTGTTTATAAAACCGCATTGAGTGGTCATATAGCAAACTCCAATATTGCAGCGTTGGGGAATTGCAGACGCTAGTTAGCCAGCGATTGGAGTCAGATGTTTTCTACAGCCCAAATCCGGTCAAATCAGCCATTGTGGCTGCTTTCCATCCCAGAACCACACCCTGCGTTCTTCTTGGCACTTGAAATCTGGATTTACTATCCAATATCCAATTCCAAATTCAATAAAACAAAGTCCAATATGCAATGTGGGCATGGGTCAAAATTGAACCACCAACAAACCGCAGGTTTTAGTCCATGTTTCCATTTACCAGGGTTCTATATTGGGTACCTATGTCATGGACCTATGTTTGACCCACACCCACGTGATGATTCTTTTTTTAACGGACGCTGAGGGCATCATCCCGGGCTGCGGGTGCGCCGGGGACAAGGTCGCGGACCTCGCGCAGGAGCTGCAGCAGCGCGTCTCGGCCGGGGTTTGGGGTCCGTCAAACCGAGATCCGGGGGGGGTGTTTCCGTTTTTTCAGCCTTTTCTGACAGGGCTCCTCAAAAGATACATTTTGCCCATTTGAAACATGGCTTTTTCCAGCAACATAAAGGGATACCACCATTTACAAAGCAATGTTCAGGTGTATAGTGTAAGGATCCCTGTCTAATTGGTGGTTTGGATTGGTGGTTTGGGATTTGAACGGGTCCCTGGTGCTTGTAGGTACATGGGAAACCCCTCCTTAACCACCAATCCAAACCACCAAGTAGAGGTTAGCAAAATGAGCACAGTTTCTCTCGTTTTTGCCCGGGACTACTCGTGTTGTTTTGAGTGGACTAGATTCTGCGGGGGTGCCCAAAGCAATCAATGCACCGGCATTTCACCACGTCCTTTCTCTCTTTTTTTTAAAACAAATTGGGGGGGGGGGGGGCAGCGGGGGGCCAAGCATGTGATGGCGGCTCGAGCTTCGAGCTAGGCAAGTTGGGGCGCGGTGACGTGGCCCAGCTGAAGAACCAGGAGAACACCATGCTCAACGCGGTTGAGCTGTCCGTGCGCACGAACACCGTCATGACGCCTGAAGAAAGGTGGTGGTTTCGGTGTCAGGGTTGGGGTTGCGAAATGGCCCCTCTTAAAGAGAAAAAACAATAGAGAGTTCTCAACATGTCATGTTGAAGCAAGGGTTGGCCCATCCTTGCCAGACCTTCAGCGGGTTGCTTCCCTTGTGTTTCTTCTTGAGGCGGAAGCCCCTAGCAGATCAGGCACCAACAAAGGCGCCTTTTCCTATAGAACCCCACTAATTGTCACCGTTGGTTTCTGGTTTGGTGATTTTGAGAGCCCTGAAATTGGAAAAGGGTCCTGAATTTGGTGGATTCTGGTTTGTTGTCAGAAATCAACATTGGCAAAGGAGTTGATTCGGAATACAGTGTTGCTGGACAAAAGGCCCCATTTCTGATGTCCGCCCATGGTCGCTCGGGAAGCCCTGAAATTGAAAATGCTGGAAGCTCTAAATAGTCATGTTTGGGAGCATCCATTGAACAAAGAGTTGGCCAATTTATAACAAGCTCACCCAGGGGGTATTGCGAGCTCACTCATGCGGAAAAGAGGATTTGTTAATTTCGGTTTGAGCAGAAGGGCCGCTCATGTACGGTTTTGGGTGGAATCCCACGGTTTTTGCCTAGGTTTGTTTGCTGGTTTTAGGCATTGTTCGGGTTTCATACTAGTAAAGTCCGGCAGACCCGGGAGTTGATCTTTTCAAACAATTCAAGAACTATAGTTTGAAGCACGCTTCGTCTCCTGTTTTTTTGTTCTCTCTCTCTCTCTCTCTATCTCTATCTTTAGTCTTTCTTTCTATATTTGTGTTTGTCTTTCTTTCTTTTTTCTTTCTGTACCTTTCTCTCTTTATCCTTCTCTTTCTGTTATCTTTCCCTTTCCCTCTCTCTCTCTTTCTCTCTCTTTCTCTCTCAGTTCTTTCAGTTATTTCTGTTCTTTCTGTTCTTTCTTTTGTTCTTTCTTTTTTTCTTTCTTTCTTTCTTTCTTCCTTCCTTCCTTCCTTCCTTCCTTCCTTCCTTCCTTTCTGTTCTTCCTTTCTTCTTTCTTCTTTCTTTCTTTATTTCTTTATTTCTTTATTTCATTATTTATTTCTTTCTTTCTTTCTTTCTTTCTTTCTTTCTCTCTCTCTCTCTCTCTGCCTGTCTCTCTCCCCAGCCCGCGAAAGTGAAAAACACAGGCGCTGTCCCAAAAAAACGTGTTTTCACTAAGGGGTGTAAGGGTAGGGAGAGAGGGCTGGGTACGGTCAGGGTACGCTCTTGGGTCTAGGCGTTTCGTCTGCGCAGGCTCACGCAAAAGTTTCTTGGTGAGCTGTTCATGTGCATTTCGACTGCGCAGGCTCGCACAAAGTGGGTGGACGGATGTGGTGTCTTCCAAGGGTGCGCTCTCCCTGTGGCGGCGTGCGAATAGGGGCACGCTTTGCGGACTTTGTTGGGCGTTGGAGTGCTCTCTCTGTGGCGTGGCGCAAATTTTAGCATCAGCACGCACCCTCTGCGGGATTTGGGTGGGTCGGATCGCTCTGGCTGCGCGCGGCGCGGAGTTTCATCACATAGCCTGAACCCTGTGCGCTCTGCGGAGTTTGGGCGGGTCGATCTCTTTCCTTGTGGCGCGGGGCGAATTGTGATCCTTGAAAAAGTGAACCTATGCGGACTATGGGCCCCGCTCGGATCGTTCGCGCTCTGGGGCGGCGCAAAGCACAAACCTCGAAGTACAGAACCTTCAAAGGTCCCTTTGGCAAGAGATCTTGTAGAGGGTGTCTCTTCAGACAATATCCTTTTGCGAGAGATCTTGTACAGGGTGTATCTACAGATCCTCGAAGACAGCTCTGTAGAGATCTGTCCATGGCTATTTTGCTTCGTAGAAAAGATCCTCTCAAGAGGTATTGCGGGTTCTGCGCGCAAATCCTGCCAAGAGACCCTACCAAGCAATCCTGCCCAGAGATCGCGCAAAAGTCAAAACATATCTTGCGCTGGTGCTTCATAGGGATCCTTCCAAGCAGTCTTGCGCAGGACCTGCCAAGGTTTCCTTGCGAGATGTCTTGAAGAGGAGGCTCCCCACAGATCTTGAACAGAACACTTGTAGAGGATGTCCTACCTTACCATAGATCTTGTGCACAGAATCTGCAAGTCCTCCCGCAGATATTTTGTGTTGGTCATTTATGTAGATTCTCTGAACAACTCTTGCGCTTGGCCTGCAAAGATTGGATGCCGAGAGATTTTGTAGAGGATGCTCTCTGCAGATCCCGAAGAGAGAGCTTAGAGAGGATTCTGGTTGAGAGCCTGCGCATGAAGCCCTATCAAGAGATCATGCAAAAGTCCTTCCGCAGAGGTCTCGTCTAGGACTTTCTACAGAAACTTTTCTTGCCTGGAAGCTCTTTCCAGACAAGATCTTCTATACGAGCTTTCAGATGCCTTCTGTTTGAAGAGCGCTATAGAGACCCTGAGCGTCTGCCGCTGCTGCTTCCTCACGATGTTTTCTAATTGTTTGTTACCGCTGTTTGGCGTCGCTTTTCCGGGAAACTTGGGGTCGACCCACGCAAAGTCCGCAGAGCTGAACAGGGCAAAACACGTTGCGGAAGCTCGACCCGCCAAAAGTGCGCAGAGGGTCACGTGAGCGAAGTGAGCATTGCTAACAAAGAAACACGAGGATTTTGAGGTCGATCCCCCGAAAGTCCCAGGGTCGACCTACCATTTGAACAGCGCGCGCGGTCGCGGCAATGTGCACCAAGATTTCATGCGTGGTCCACTGCGTTGTTTCTTTTGAAGTGGCTCGCCTGCCATGGGAGTTGCTTCCCGGGTCGGTGGTTCGTGTTATCAAGTTGTGCAACCACTGCACTGACAGTCGAAATTCGCTCACTCAGTCCCAGTGGATGCGAGTTGCCCATGCAACCAAACATGTTCCCTATATTTTTCAAAGAGGTCCTCTTGATTGTCTAATACACAAGTAAATGGGCGTGCAGGGGGCGCCAAACATGCCTGTGGTAGTTTCGAAGGAAACCAACGTTTAACTGACCGCTGGAGTCAGTTCTGCGGCCCTGCGCACGCTCGCAACATGCGCGCGAGCCCGAGGAAGAGAGAAGGCGTCCAGTTTCCGCCCAGCCAGGAGAGGCCGCATGCCGGAGCATGTGCTGCATTGGTTTCTCTTACTGGGTGCTAAATAACCGTTGATTTGTTGTTCCAAATGACAACCAAAACGCGGGTGGGTATGTTTGTTTGCGGCCTTTCTATCAACCAGTTCAAAAGAAGACGACCTGAAGCATTCTGTGGTGTGAAATGGAACATATTGCGACGCATTCCAGTCCACACTTTGCAGCTCGAATTGCAAAGGCCCAAAATGGTTGGTTCTGGTCAATCGTGCATTAAGGCTAATAACGAATTTGCCTCAGGGCAAGACGAGCTCACCTATGAAGGTCCTTTGTGCTGTGGGATCCCTTGCTTCCAGTTAGAATGGACAACTTACCGTCTTTCATTTCTAGACCTTTAGTACCAGGTTTTGATTGTGATTCGCATTGCCAAGAGGGCTTCAGTCGTTTCAGTTGGTGCAGACAGCTCAGCTAGTGTCCTTGGTGAACTCGGGGTGAGCAAAACAGCGAGGACTACTTGGCAGCTCATGTTGTGAATTGCTCCGCGCAATTCATAGCACTTGTAGTGTACTGTTCAACACAAGACCTTTAGATTGATAAACTTAGTTTAGTGATAACTAGTTTCAATCATTAGCAATTTTCAACTTGTGTGAGTAGTTGGCTGAAATAGTTTCATGGATGACGGCATTTAGACATCATATTTGATCCACGGCACAGCTTGGACGTGCAGGAGACTATGAAGGCGGACTATGGGCCTGCGTTCACTCTGCCGCATCTCGCCTTTGCTTTCATTTGAAGGCGAGTGCTCTCGCATGAACCTCCAAGCAAGGGCATGGGAGGGCTATCACCTATTCGTCCCTGAATAAGGCAACAAACGGAACAGTCGCACTGGAGACCGGGCTTTGATTTGAGAGGTATTCCATTTGTGTGGAAGCTCAGACTTCAGCTGCAAAGCGCTCAATCATGCAAATGGGTGTGTGCATGCGTTTTTGAGGCTCGGTACCCTTTTCATCTTGATTAAAAAGGGAAACCAAAGGACAACCACCCATTGTGACACACATGGTCCTACGGAGATGCGTCACTGCTGAGCTTGCGTTTATGAACCCCCCAAAGCTGCAGTCTGGTTGGTGTCACTTTGTCGAGGGGAATCGACAAGCTTCCAAAGCCTACCGTCTTGTTTGTGGAACATGCGGTTTTAGGGTCAGTTTCAACGGTACCCAGAAACACACTGCTACAAATAAAGTGGCTGTGGCGATGACCCTCTCTGGTATCACAGAAAGTGTTCTTTCCCACAGCCATGCCTGCTCTGGCGTGACCTTGATTGTGTAAAGGACACGCTCATTGCCTTGTTCTCCTTTGGCCAAGTTGAGGAGAGGGGGTTGTTCCGTTCTCAGAAGGGGCGGGGCAGAAAGATGCATCGTCGAAGATGGACACTGACTGGATGGAAGATCATTCCTTCACAAAAGGCCCTTCTGATGGGGGTCGATTGCGACCATGTTATGAGAACAGTCAATAACGCGCTTGGTATCAGCTCGAGTTGTGCTGCTAAAGTTGCACACTGTTTCCAAAAGGTCTGTGGTTTTGACACATTGTCGTTTGCGCTACAATGAACACCTCGGCAGATGCAGGTGGGTATGGGACAGTCGCAACCAGAAAGAGGCCACCCTCTTGATTTGTTACATGGCTTTGGGTGGAAGACCATAGTACATTGACTAAATCAAGGTGAAGCGCCCTGGCTTGGAACATGGCCCAGGGTCTTTTAGTGGTGGGATCCAGGAATATCCTTTCCACTTTAGGCTTCACGCAGGCGGGGAACATTTCTGACCCCTGGAATTCCATCACCAATATACCTGGACCCTCCGGCGGCAGCGCTTTCTGCCGAAAGGCCCCGGCGGCAGACATTTTCGCCTTGGAATTCCTTATTTCCGGTTTGCGCATTGCTCTCATTTGCCCAGGTGGGAATCCATTCGAGCCTTTGGTTTTTGCTAGTTAAGCCACCGTTGGTGGCTGGCATCTTTTCTCCGACCGGTTTTACAAAGAACATCCTCTCCCCAAAAGGGTCCGCCTTGTTTCGATATCCCTAAGGAGTTTTGACCATGTCCTGATCACTGGCCATTGCCGAGGACGTATGATGATGGCTTCCTCGGCGAGAGCGTGCACGCGGGTCCTTCGCAGAAGTGCCTGTCCGGAAAGCCGTTGGTTCAAATGTCTCGGGTACCAAAATCAACGCTCGAGATTAACTGCCCTTTTCTCGAGAGGTGCCCTTTTCCCCCTTTGCAGGTCCGCGAATGTTCAAACAACTGGGTGAGGTTTTAGTATCGTGGCATCCATGGAGTGAGTACCTTGCATCCCTAGGTCAACAAAGTTATATATATATGATATTTTTTTACATTTGTATTAATATAACTATACATATATATATATATATACAATTCATATATCTATTATTGAACTCGATCGGCTCAAAGGGTATTTGAGCTTTTTGATGCGTCCCAAAGGACCCGAAGAACTCTGATTTCAGCCGGCCATCTGCGCCCTTTTGATCGAGACAACCGATTTTGGGGCTAACACGAGCGAAGACCCATGACATGTTCGTAATTGGGGATTCCTTATCACCAAAGCTCTGCTGAAGTTGTTCTACGCTATTTTTAGCAATGTTGGGGTGTGTGGGTGGGCCGAGACCCCGGGCCAAATTGGCTCTGTGTGTGCAAATCACTATGCTAATATGAGATTTAGGAGTTTCCTTTTTCAGGAGTTTCCTTTTTCACAATGCGGTCCTTTTTGCCATGCAGTATTAGGATTGTAAGCTGCACCGCTGCTAGTTCTTGGTTTGAGCTTCTGCTTTTCATGTTCCACTCCTGCTTTTTGAATCTATGTTGGCACTTCTGGAAATCCTTGCTAGGTTGGTACCTCCTGAAGCAAACACAGAACACTGATAACGGACACACAGTGATATGGGAGACGGCAGCTCAAAGTTGATATTCGTTCGTGGGTCCAAGTTAGGAAGGTCTGGTGCTTTCGACACGTTCAATAATTTGGTGGTTTCTTGAGAATGGGTGGTTGATTTCCTTTCGGTTCCCGGTAAACTATCCGGAAAGGGTACAGCACCCCCGTTTGAGAGGTACAGCACCCCGTATTTTGAGAAACACCTGTTCGGTGAAGTCATGTTGGTTTCGCAAAACCGCGAGCCCCCGAGCTCAGAGCCATCCCATAGCCGAGGCATGGCGAGAAGGATTACGGCTGCTCGGGCTCAAAGTTCTCGAATGGAAAGACGAACGGCTTCCCTTTGGTTTCTCTTTGAAGGTTGACCCCGGTAAAAAGATGAGTGTGGTTGCCAATTTGTGGTTAGAGCGTGTTTGTTTATCCTGGATTCTCACTAACAAACCCCAGAAGGGTCAAAATGATCGGGGTTGGGCTGGTTTCCGTTTAACACAGTCGTAGCTTTGTCTAAACTTGGAATCTTCTTGGCGCTATGCCAGAAGGGGGATTCTGAAGCCAACTCGAACGGCTGTGAATTCAATAGGGAGCCACCTCACAAGTGGTTGGTGGGCATGAAGCCCCATCTAAATGACGCCTCCCCCGAAAGCGTCTATTCAATTCGGAACCGAATGAGCTTGTCAAATTCTGAATCCGGACGACTAGGGTCCGGATGAATCCGTTAGCAATACCTTTGCACGTAGAATTGAGCTTGGTTGATACAACAATATTTCAATCTAGGAAGCCCTCTCTACAAGTCAATATTTGTTCCAAGTGGTTTTTTGTTGTTGTTCATAGGCTTCCCACAGAGGTCAGACAAGTACAACATATGCTGTCTGTTTGTTGTGTTGGAAAGCTCACGTTGTCAATGTGCTTGGCCATTTGGCATGGACGCCGACAGTGGCTGAACAGTTCATGCCTCTCTTTTGTGCGTCCGCACACGTTGAGTCTGGGCAGAAGATAGTGACCGCTGCATCTAGGGGCCATTTCTTATTTCAGGTCGTTTCAGTTCGTACTGTGCTTTGTGCTTTCAGGAAAGACACGCTGTCTAACAAGCGAGGGCGGGCAGTGATTTGTGATCCAAACGGGAGCAAGGGATGAAAGCTGCTCAAGTGCTGGCTTCATGACGGTTACGTAGGAACCTCAGCTGGTAGAACCAAAAGTCAGGTTGGATTGTCGGAGACCATGGGGTTCAAGAAGAAATCTCGGGCCATGTGGCCAGTTCACCTTGTCGCTGGATCTCCCTGATCCAGAGGTCCCTATATTTCCATGTTCAGCCCTTTTCCGCATCAGTGCATCACCTTTGGCCCGTAACTCAGCTTCCTTTCAGAGGGTTCATGTTGGGTGGCTGTGTGGGGAGTTCTGAGCATCGGCCCAACCCCGGCTTCGCTTTTGGGAAGCCGAGCAGTGGCGGCAAGAGGTCTTTCACATTGAGCATGTCTCACGGAGGTGAAAATTAGCGACGGTTTTTGGCTCTCTCCAAGGGCCCAAGAAGGTGCCGACCATTTTGGAGCGTAGCCTCTCCATCAATCGTGGACGTGTACAGGATGGTTTCGGATCACTACCATGGCCACCAAACCTCCAGTTCCGTGATTCTTGGGAACAGGACAGCCCTTACTGTCGTTTTGAGTTTTCCCATTTATTGGCCCTTTGTTTGCCCATGCGGGTATGGATCAAAATTTCACCACCAGGGACCGCAGGTTTTGGTCCATGTTTCCACTTACCAGGGTTCCATTTGGGGTACCGATTTTTGACCCACAGCCATGTGGTTCATGTTTTGCCCAGCTTGGCTTCAGGTATCACCAACTACATGGAGTCCTGCTGTCTTTGCTTCTTCTCCTTGGGCTTGGCCGGGTGCAACACAACCCACCTGCACCTGGGCCCGGGCCTCGGGTTTGCCAAAGCCGAATCCGAGTCCCAGATGTGGGCCAAGAAAAGAGAATCCCCTTGACATTGCGGAAAGGAGGCCTGCGTTCTTGAAACCACCGAAACTTTGAGAATTCCAAAAAAAAACACAACCACACAACGTGTCAAGATTCTGATGTGTTTGTTGTGTTTGGAAACTGTTTTTGTGTTTTGTTTGCTAGTTTTTGAGAAAAAAGCGTGAAACACCTCGTTTTCCAAAAGAAATTTCAGACTCCGAACAAATGTGTTTGGGTTGTTGGACATCTCAATTTGTTTTTGCATTTGTTGAAACGCGTCAACCACTTGCTCGGGCTTTCCAAAGTAAACAACACAAAATCAGACCCCAATTAAGCCACCAAGCATACATGGGCTACATGGGGTCTGACCTCTGTTTTTTTGTTGGGAGGGGATGGATCTCAAGGTTTGCTTTGACGCATTTGTTGAAAACGTCTGACAACCCTCGAGTCTTCCAACAAAAGCAACAACAAACGTCAGGCCCTAGTTCACCAACATGGATACAAAGGGTCCGAAATGTTGTTTTTGTTGGGAAACACGTGTTTTGCAGCTGTTGGAAAGTGTGAAAAAGGGTTTGTTTGCATTGTTTGCAAAGACTGAATAAACGAGTTGTCCAAAACAGCACTAAATTTCAGACCCTAACTCAGCCAACACGGATTCGTAGGGTCTGATTTTGCCCCCGGAAAAGGACGTTTGCCAGACCATAGTTACATAGGTAGTTAGATAGATAGCGCGCTAGAGAGATAGAGAGATTGATATTTAAATAGATAGGAAGGTGGATAGATAGAGAGAGGATTGAACCTGAGATTCAGCGGATAAAACAACCGATAGAACTCAAGCCAAGGATAGACAAGAGCAAGATGGAAGGAAAATCAGAATTATAGATATAGATGACAAACGGCAAGAAGAGAAAACAAGACAACACATATAAATATGTTGTTTGTTTGTATGTGTTTTTGAAACTTGCGCCCAGCGGCTTCGACGGCTCTACTAGTGCTAGATGGGCAACTGCGATAAAGCACAAGCTAAGTTGAGTTGCTGCACATAAGTTGGAGCTGCAATGTCCAAGCTAGGAATATTGCGGATACATGCTATGGACAGGCTAGGTATATGCTGGCACTATGCAAGGTTTGCTAAACATATGCTTTAACATACCTTGGCATAGAGTCAAACACACGCATGCTGCATGCAGAGGACAGGTACGCAACAACAAGTAGTAGACATAGATTACAAGCTAGACACACGCAACATGCTGCACATGCTATGTACATGCTAGGCATACACAAGGCACTTGCTGCCATGTCAATTCAAGATGCAACATGGACTGAAGCATCATCCTACTCCATCATGGAGTGAAGCTTCAATCACAGAGGGCCAACGGCGACCCACTCTCCAAAACTTTAGAGCCTCCGGCTCAGTCCGCCGACATTGTCCTCTCCCTTTTCTCCTTCTTCCTCTCTCCCTTGTCTCCCTGGTGTGTTCTGTCGTCCTCTCTCCCTCCCTCCGCTCCCCATCCTCCCCATCCCCCCAAGCCACTCTCTCCCCAATCTCCCTCTCTCGTATGTATGTATGTATGTATGTATGTATGTATGTATGTATGTATGTATGTATGTATGTATGTATGTATGTATGTATGTATGTATGTATGTATGTATGTATGTATGTATGTATGTATGTATGTATGTATGTATGTATGTATGTATGTATGTATGTATGTGTATGTATGTATGTATGTATGTATGTATGTATGTATGTATGTATGTATGTATGTATGTATGTATGTATGTATGTATGTAATGTATGTATGTATGTATGTATGTATGTATGTATGTATGTATGTATGTATGTATATGTAATGTATGTATGTATGTATGTATGTATGTATGTATGTATGTATGTATGTATGTATGTATGTATGTATGTATGTATGTATGTATGTATGTATGTATGTATGTATGTATGTATGTATGTATGTATGTATGTATGTATGTATGTATGTATGTATGTATGTATGTATGTATGTATGTATGTATGTATGTATGTATGTATGTATGTATGTATGTATGTATGTATGTATGTATGTATGTATGTATGTATGTATGTATGTATGTATGTATGTATGTATGTATGTATGTATGTATGTATGTATGTATGTATGTATGTATGTATGTATGTATGTATGTATGTATGTATGTATGTATGTATGTATGTATGTATGTATGTATGTATGTATGTATGTATGTATGTATGTATGTAATGTATGTATGTATGTATGTATGTATGTATGTATGTATGTATGTATGTATGTATGTATGTATGTATGTATGTATGTATGTATGTATGTATGTATGTATGTATGTATGTATGTATGTATGTATGTATGTATGTATGTATGTATGTATGTATGTATGTATGTATGTATGTGTATGTATGTATGTATGTATGTATGTATGTATGTATGTATGTATGTATGTATGTATGTATGTATGTATGTATGTATGTATGTATGTATGTATGTATGTATGTATGTATGTATGTATGTATGTATGTATGTATGTATGTATGTATGTATGTATGTATGTATGTATGTATGTATGTATGTATGTATGTATGTATGTATGTATGTATGTATGTATGTATGTATGTATGTATGTATGTATGTATGTATGTATGTATGTATGTATGTATGTATGTATGTATGTATGTATGTATGTATGTATGTATGTATGTATGTATGTATGTATGTATGTATGTATGTATGTATGTATGTATGTATGTATGTATGTATGTATGTATGTATGTATGTATGTATGTATGTATGTATGTATGTATGTATGTATGTATGTATGTATGTATGTATGTATGTATGTATGTATGTATGTATGTATGTATGTATGTATGTATGTATGTATGTATGTATGTATGTATGTATGTATGTATGTATGTATGTATGTATGTATGTATGTATGTATGTATGTAATGTATGTATGTAATGTAATGTAATGTAATGTAATGTAATGTAATGTATGTAATGTAATGTAATGTAATGTAATGTAATGTAATGTAATGTAATGTAATGTAATGTAATGTAATGTAATGTAATGTAATGTAATGTAATGTAATGTAATGTAATGTAATGTAATGTAATGTAATGTAATGTATGTAATGTATGTATGTATGTATGTATGTAATGTATGTATGTATGTATGTAATGTATGTAATGTAATGTAATGTAATGTAATGTAATGTAATGTAATGTAATGTATGTATGTATGTATGTATGTATGTATGTAATGTATGTATGTATGTATGTATGTATGTATGTATGTATGTAATGTAATGTATGTATGTATGTATGTAATGTAATGTAATGTAATGTTGTAATGTAATGTAATGTAATGTAATGTAATGTAATGTAATGTAATGTAATGTAATGTAATGTAATGTAATGTAATGTATGTATGTAGGTAGGTAGGTAGGTAGGTATGTATGTATGCATGCCTGCATGTATGTATGTATGTATGTATGTAATGCATGTATGCATGTATGCAATGTAATGTAATGTAATGTATGTAATGTATGTAATGTATGTAATGTATGTAATGTATGTATGTAATGTAATGTAATGTAATGTAATGTAATGTAATGTAATGTATGTATGTATGTAATGTAAATTTAAAGTAATGTAATGTGATGTTGTGTAATGTAATGTATGTATGTATGTTTGCATGTCTGTCTGTATGTATGTCTGTATGTATGTATGTATCCTTGCACTTCCCCTTTGCTCCCCAGTATTTCCCGCAAAAAACACTGTTTTTCCAGCGTTTTCGCAAAGATGATGTCCAAAAACACAGAGTTTTTCCAGATTTTCGGCAAAAGGATGCAGGAAGCCCAAGCCAGCAAAAAAGCCGGCAGGGGGAATCGAGCCTGGGACCCCTGTTTTGCGACACCGGTCCCCGAAGACTACGTTTAGTGGAACGTCATCAAATTGCCGCGCGGTCCTTGGGGGGGGGGGGGGGGGGGGCCCCCCCCCCACGTATCAGGCGTCGGGTGGGGGGGGGGTTAGGGGGGGGGGGTATCCTCTATCCTCTCTTAGGTGTCCGACACGCCGAGCAATGTCGGCGGATTTATGGTTAGCGGACGCCATGTTCGTCAATAAGGTTGGTTAAGCAAACCATGTAGATGGCCCGGTTAAGCAAACCCGCTGCGAAAGCTCCGCGGAAGTGATCATTCACAAGCACATGCCCGCGAAAGTTTTGCTTGTGGCAGCGAAAGCATTTCTAAAGGTTCCCCGAAAGCGGTTTGGCAGTTGAGGTTATGCACCGCGCTTTCGGCGCCGCTCAGGATGGCAACCCCAAAATGTTAGGATTCCTTTTGGTTTTTCTTTAAAACCAACCGAAAGGGGGTTCCCTAAAAGACGCCAAGCATACCCCAAAGAGGTGACTTGACGCCAGCCGCCTGCCCGCGAGGGGAAGAGGAGGTCACCACAACCAACAAGAACTTTTGCTCCACCAGCACGGCTCGCATGCCCTACGCCCAGCTGGGCTCAGCCCCTTGGCGAACGGCCGGCCAAATGCTCCTAACGTGGGAAAGCGTGGGTCGATCAAAGAGAATCCTGAATCCTTTTTGTTCAAAGGGTATCAAAGGGAATCCTTAATATGGGAACAACATCTGGGTTGTTGAAACGGAATCCTTTTGGGTTATGCGCATCTTCCCACAGGGTTTGTGGACAAGGATTGGCCAGCCCTCCATTTTAAGAACAGCCCAGTCAAATGGGCGGACCCAAAACTGCACCATCTTCCAATTGGTCTCCCTGCAAACCAAGATGAAAGAATACCTACGCCCCAAACGGGAATGCGCGGGTAATTTGTTGACTTCCCCAACATTGAAACCGTTTGTGTTCCATCGTCTCAACAGGCAACCAAGAGGGGGCCGTGTAAAGGTTTTCCGAAAGGATCAACATGGGCAAAAGGTGCGGCACGGTGAACAACTGCACTTCACCCCTTTGATTGTCCGCCGCAGTGGGAGGTTTCTCTTCGGCCTTCCTACCAAAAACAATCCTACAAATGGTGCCAGTGCTACGAAAGTGGATGCGAGCAGCGCCCGAAACCCTGGCTGGGCGATCTGACAAGGGATCCCACTCTCTACTGAGAGCATGCTCGGGCAATTTAGTTTCAGCTCTCAAAGGCTACTTTTTCAGGTATGGTTTGCTGAATTGTTTGGATATGTTATGATTCTTGGTGGATGGAAACCAAGCGGCACCACGCAGAACCCAATTCTGTGGCCTTGGGTTGGTGAATTCTTGTTAGATCCACGCAGTCAAGCGGGAGTAGAGCCAAGCAATCAGCTCATATCAGCTCAATTCAGACGTGCTTGACATGTTTGGACCAGCTTGTTTCTCATGCCAGTTGAGCCACAACCAAAACCTGGGAAGATGAAGGCCGGTAGGGGACAGTCCCAACCCAGAAAGATGCCGCCGTCATCCGCTGTCCTGTTCATTGCTTGAGTTTGTATAAACGCCCCGACGATTCAAGTTTAGTATGAGGGGGGTCCGTTTGTGCCCAAAACTGCCACGTCTCGCTGCAAAACGAGAAGGAGCCAAGAGCAACGATAACCATCGTGAGAAGCGGCCTTGTCAGCTAGGAAAACACATCTTGTTAGGGAGCAAACAGGCCGGACTTGGTAGCTGATCAACAACGATATCACACACGATAACGCTTTGCACATAAACTGCATTTTGCTGCCAATGTGTACTTCGTGCACTATACTTGTATTGAACAGTTGAGGTTTTGCAGGCTGGAGCTGCCAAAGTGTACTTCGCGTACTGCACTGGTACGGAAAAGTCACATTTTCAAGCGGGAGCTGCCAAAGCATACTTCGCGAAGTACAGTTGAAGCTGCCAAAGTGATGTTGCTACGGAACAGTTGCAGTTTTCGAGCTGGAGCTGCCAAAGTGCACTCCGTGTCCTGCACTTGTACAAAAAGATCTTACACAGAAAGCACAGAACAAATCAAACCTCACTTGATTCTGGCTAGGCTCCTTCAACTCCAAATCATGGCTTTGTCAACTGGAAGCGGTTGTTTGTCGCCGTGCGTTTTATCAAGTTTGTTGGCTGCCAGTGGATTTCGCTGTGCTTTTCCAATCTTGTCGGACAACAAGCAGGCACCTCTAAACGCCGAGTTGGTTTTGAGGTCAACTGGCTTCAAACCCCGTCAAACTCCGGCCCCTCGTGCGTAAATTCTTAATCCTCACCACCATCTTCGCTGCGTGTTTTTCGTGAGCTCAAATTTTACAACCGGAGCAAGAACGACCACAGTTGCTTGGTTGCGTTGCCTTGGTCTGAAAAGCAAGCAACCGTGGATTCTTCCGTCTTAGGTTTCACTAAGTCACCAGCAAAGAACATTGGGCGGTTTCCTAATATTCGCCTGGTGGGTTCCTAGGTCGGCTGCAACTCCCCCCTGAAATGAAGGGGTCCCTCTCAAATAGGACCCAAGAAATCAACCAGAGCTTTGGTCACTGGCTCAGCCACTCAAGCAGGTCGCAAGGTTTATGTGTGCCAGCCCTTGGCCCTCGGCCCAGGTGGACGTGGAAACCTTGTGCTGTGGCAATTGCTTCAGTGTGGGGACGGATTCTTGGCAGAGCAAGGCGTGCGCGAGGCATCCAAAATGAATGGCTCAGGAGTTGTTTTTTGTTTCTTCGGTTTTTCTTTCCGTCCAAAGTGGTTTACATTTTGACCCTCGCAACCCGCCTTTGAGGGTTGTGTGGCGGTACTTTCTCTCCTATATGGTTGCCCTTTTGATGAAGTGCGCATACAGTGTTGTTCTATTCCCAGCTCTCGCATTGTCCAGCTTTATCTTAGCTGCTTCAGACGTCGCGCGCCCATCTCTCAAAGGAGGCATGGCTCAGTTAGTTCCAGCACTATGGACGTGATTGTTGCATTTCCTTTGATGAGTGTGCATAGTTATTAGCTGTCGTTGAATATCCTTGTGAAACTTCCCTTGATGGGTGTGTTTTTCTTTGAGCTTGCTTGTTGGTATTCCTTTGGTGTTGCTAGAAGAATCAGATGTGTGTTTCTCCGGCGGTATGTTTTGGCCAAAGCCAATCGACCTTACACATTGGAATGTCAGTTCCAACCTGTTGCAGGTCCAAAAATATGTTCCCTTCATTTATTCCCACCTTTCAGTACGGCAAAAAGCCTGTGTGAGTGGGGATTGGGGGGGTTAGCGTTAGCGGACCTAGCAAAAAACAGAGGCAGCCCTCGCAACCCTTGTTGTTTCTCATACCCGTCTTTGGGCACCGGTGTTCTTTTGTTTGCTGACGATGTGTGTGTGTTTTTCCTGTCGTTTTTGAGAGAAATCGGTCGCGGAGGATAGTAGGGCACTCCCTATTGATATAAGCACCGAAATACTTACCTTACATTACCCAACCAGGTGTGTGCGGGTGTGTGTGTGTGTGAAACTAGGGGAGACCCTTCCCTTCAGAGCAACCTCAAAAAGGCCAGTCTCAAGAACATATAGACACACACCCACACACACACACACACCCGTGGGCAAGCCGCCATTCCCATGGAAAGAAGTTGGCGCCCCTCCCAACGCCGCAGCGCTCCTTGCTCAGAACGGCGGCACCATCATGCCTGGCTTCGGGTGCGGCAAGCAGGTGGGTGCAAAAATCGACTTGTTGTTTGCTCGTTGGCTTTTCCGGGGGAGACCCAGCAAACTTTGCCGTTCATTTTTGTTCATTGATATCATTTATTTTGCATTTTTCCTACCTTTTTCGGCGGGACCTAATGTTGGTTTATGAAGGAGCAACTTAACTTAATTTCCAGTAGAAATTATCCCTTGTTCTGCATGTCCTTTAATTTTTGTGTTGGACATAGTGAGCTGCATTGGGCAGGTTTATTACAGGTTTAGGAAAACTAACATGCAGCCACTGATGGCAGGGAATTCCCAATTGTGAGAACCCCGTGCTTTGTTGCCCTGCGCTGGTGATTCCGTAGGCGGAAAAGATGAACTATATATATATATATATATATCAAGGCATGTTCAGATGTGAAACGCGCCAAGCTCTTGCACATTCGGGTCCGCTGCATGCTTCAACCGTACTGTCCAATCATATACAAGCACCGTGGCGGGAATCCAACTTGTATGCATGGCACAGGCTCTAGTCATGGCAAGCCTCCCCACTTCAGCAGGCTGGAGGTATGGTTGATTTCGGTTGATTTCCTACATAGAGGGATGTCTCAGAATGTTTTGTTTCCTTTTGCTTGCTGTGGTGCAAAACGCACCACTCTGTTTTGTGAGTCTACCATGTTTTGGAGCGGTTCAAAGGGAATGCGACTGAAAATCACCACCATGCTGTGGGGATTTTGGGTCCCCTTGATTTTGGCGCATGCGGAGCCTCCAGCTGGTCCATCGACGCTTAACCACGAAACAGGAGGTGGACGGCATCGCCGAGGAGCTTCAGAAGCGAAAGGCCGGCAAGGGTCGTCTAGGGGGGGTGTCCATCCCACAATATTCCCGGGGTCAATAAGCCACCCCCACCTCCATGTTCTGAAGCTCGATTCCCACGTCTCTTTCAAGGTGTCCCGTAATTTTTGGAATGGAATTGTGCGGAGTCAACGGAGGCGTTGGCGGCGTTGGCGGCGCGCAGTGATATCACTACTCATTTTTTGGTTGACCAAGTGTGAGTGGGTCCCCTACAGTTGGTTACTCCCGCATGAAACAGAGGCTGAAGATTTCAGTTTCTTTTGTATGCTGGGGATGGGCCAATATTATGATGCTCTGCTGTGCATCTGCTGCCGTGCGCTATAGTCAGCGAGGCAAACTCGAGCCATGGTCATGGCCTGACAGACCCGAAAAAGGGGTGAACTGAGTGTTCCAATGTCATTGGGTGAGACAGTGAAACTTGACGGTGGCTGATGATGTCATTGTCATTGAGTGGTGATTGGCTTCCGGAAAAAGATGAAAAACAAACAGTCACTAAATGCCCATGCCGCTTGACACCTGCCGAGTCGTTATTAATCTTATGCATTTTTTGTATATCACTGGCGGGTTCTGTCGACTTTTTTCCGCAGGTGACCCGCGGCAACATTGCGCAGGTCCAGATGCAGGCAGGATATTTAGGACTTTGCATACATGTTATATATCAGGGCCTAATTGAATCATTTAAATAGAATTGGTTCTGGGGTACTGGAAGGCCAAACTTAGTGATTGATGAAAGGGGTAGCTATTCGTATTTATTGTGCTCATTATATCCCTTCATGCCGGGCCGCTTTGGGTAGCCGCGACATGACGTGGAAACGGACCTGCCACTTCGAAAGCGATTTAGAAGGGGGATTGGAGGGTGTATCTCAAAATCGTGGTCCCCTACAATGGAGGGTGTCCTATTAGTTTCCATAAAGGACCAACCAAACAGGCGTCCACCATTTGAGAAACACCCTGGCAACTGGGCTCTGAATTGAGGGAGGTTGCTTTGAAGAGCAATTCAGGAGAGCCCAAGTGTTTGAGTCCTTTGGCTTCCAGAGGGGAACCACCCAAGTCTTTGACTGTGCCAAAAGAGAGGGTTACATGAGTTTCTGTTGGGGGGTTGTTTTGAAGGGACACGAAGGGAAACCATCCAACTTGTATGAATAAACCTGACCGACACCGGCCCGTTGCAGAAACCAACAGGATCAACAAACCTCAAAATCACACGGAATCTTCTGTGGCAGCTGTGTTTGTTTTCCCAACACCATTAACGTGTAGGTGGCCCAACCCCAGTTACCCCAGTACACTCGCAGACATTAAAGCAAATTGTGTCATCTCTGAACAGACAGTTGTCATTTCAGCGATCACACCTGAGAGGGAGTTTGTGCTGATTTTGTTCCGTTTATATTGGTCCAACAGATTGTGCTTCAGGGTTCCCGGGTGCAAAATCAACGATGGCAGCTAATGCAGTTTCCCTGAACAGCACAAGGGAAGGTATATGTCTTGGTTTGTTCAACCCAGCGTTGTTTTGTGTGGGCGGCCCTTTAATGGATTGACCAGAAGTCTTCATGATGAGTTGCCGGGTGGTCTGGGACTCCGACGCATACCAAACAACTTTAGTAAGAACTGCTGGCGTGCTAAGCATCATCCCATCCCGGCGGGCTGCTTAAAGTAGAACAGCTCGTGTCGGATGGTTTCTCACGAACAAAAGGAAATCGACTACCTACGTCCCAAGTTTCAACTTTCCACAGTCATGAGAAGTAAAGGAAGACTACGGAGGTTGAATGAACCCCCCTGTTTTATTCGTGCAGTCCACAATTTTGCCCTGAACGTCCCATGTCATGAACCAGTGTGTCATGGCGAATGGCCCAGGACTCTTTGTGCAATGACAATTAGAGGGAGCTGCCAAGACAGTTGTTGTGCTACTTTTGTGGATTCTTCCGTTGGGACGTGGACATGTGAATATTCAATCAGCTCCTGTACCTGATGTGTTTGGGGCCCACCAGGCGAGGCCCACCATGAAACCAATCACTTGGAATCCGAAAGTAAGCCACGCATGGGCATGACTCGAAGCCTCTTCATGATGTGTTCCACGGTTGCCAGCTTCATAGAACGTGATTTCAGGAGAATCTCATGATCGAGATCATCAAGTTGCTCGACCTGAAGGGCCAAAAGGGTGGAGACACACGAGAGTTTGGGCCTGTTTTGCCGGCGGAACTCAGGACTGGGAGAAGATAGGGTCCTTCGTCCATGAGCTGTCCCCTGCGTGATTTGTGTTTGGCTTTTTGTTGTTCTTTTCTACAGAGCCCAGTCGCCGGGTGACCACGCCGGAGCCCTTCGAGGGAAAAAAAACATATTTGTGCACATGGCTCCGGAAACATGCATCCGCAAAGGTTCGCCTTCACGAATCACGCAGGGTACAGTCACGTGTTCGTGATTTGAGCTTATCAACTGTCTCTCAGCCACATCCGTGTTGCGCACTTGCACCTCCAAGGTGGTTGCCCTTGTTGCTGCCCAGTCAGTTGTCCAAAGTGAACCACTGTCTTTTTGATCATGTGTCACTGTCAAACATCTGAAACAATGTATGACATCCATGTTTAGTCATGGTAGCCCTCTAGATGAGCCTTCTGCCCACAGGTTTACGGATTCACTAGATGCACTGGGAAATTCACCTGGCTAGTTTTGGGCGATGGTCCCATTTGGCTACAATGCAGGCTTGTTTCTGGTGTTTGTACGTCGTGCTTGATGTTTGTGTAACTATATGTTCGTGTGTGTATATATTTGTATGCTTGTGTGTATGTCTGTGCATGTCGTTGTAGTTGTTTGTTGGTTGGGCTTCCTTTCAACATCCAGCAACCAACTTGCGCAGTTTTGTCCATGGGAATGCTGGTTGCAACCGGAGCAGACGCAGCAAAGAAACTTCAAAGATCTTGCAGGCGCGGGCAAGCGCATCCGAGGCTGAGCGTGCAGATGGATCAACTTGCGAAGAAGGAGGGGGTGAAGTACCCTCCCACGCAGCAGACCATGGAAGAGGCGCACCGTTGACATAGCGCGCTCATGGCGAAATGAGAGCGCACATAATTTGAGGAACAGGGACAGTCCCAGCAATTAGGTGTAGCCAGCCTTGGAGTGTTTTGCATGCCTTTCCCAAAAAGGTGGCGCTTTGTTAGCAGGGTCACTGGGCAAGTGGCACCATCCAGTATCTAGCAGAGTGCTAAATTTGCAACCCTTGTCAATTTCCCAAATACGAAGGCAAAAGGGGATGGGCAATGTTATACATTGCTACACCTCATGTTTAGTATCCATTTGGCCGCAACTGAGTGTTATGCCCTATGTTGGCAAGTGGTTGTTCCGGCTTACCTAGTGTGAGGACTTCATTTTCTCCTTTGTTTCATAGGCATGATGCTGAGGGCTTATTTGGCGTTGCGCGCACGTGTGTGTGTGTGTGTCACACATGGGGGCGCTCTAGGGGATGCTTTCGCACCAAAATCCAAGCGACACCATCCGTCGCTCTTTTGAGCAACGATTGCACCCTCCATGTCCCATGCATGATCCTCAATTAGTTCTGTGTAGAAATGGTGACATATGTTTGCACACCTGTGGGTTCCACAGCATCTCAGGGATTCAAGGAGATGTTTCAAGGAGCAACGTCTGTCACACCAAGAACTGGCCCGCTTGGGCTCACCTGTGGTCTTCCCATCAAGCACAAGGGACCCACATAGAGAGTTTCGTGTTTCTTGTGGGGCCCCCCAATTTTCCACCAGGAAAAGAGAGAACATCTAGTTTGGGCGACTTGACTCGGTCCATGCTGCTTCTACCCAAGAGATGTTTCCGATCGCCTGCAACCTTAAGGAGTTTGTTTGGCCATCAAAGACACTCCGTGGTACGTTCAGAGGGAAGCGGACCTTGAGCTTGTAGGATGTTGGAATGTTGGGATAGTTCCACTTCTCTGATACCATACATAACTTGTCGGTAAGGCCATTGTCCAAACGGTATCACAGAATTGTGCAATTGTCAGAGACTGTTGAATGGCAATTGCAGTTGCAGAATTGAATCAAGATAATGATTATGCAATTCACAAACAAATCATTATGCAACTGGCAGAAACCTTGGTCCACCTTGACAGCAGCCAAGACAGGCTTTGTTTGTCAACCAGGCGTGCGACTTTGCGCGTGTAGCCTTCCGGGCCCCAAGGCGCCAAGGAGCTGAACCAAACGGTGGTCGTGGGTTTGCCTGAAACCAATCCTAAAACGGAGACACACCAATGAACTCATCTGAATTTGGACCCTTTCTGGGGATGAAAGTGAGAAACTGGGATCTGCCCCTCAAACCTGCTGTTAGACCCACTCCAAGGATTCATGTGTCACACCTTGTGCACCCACGAGCCTGAACAGTTACGCAGGCTTGACTCTTGCACTCCCCTCTTGAGGTAAACAAGGGCACCCCTCTCCACCAGGCAGCCATGTGGCGAAGAAGATTTCTACATGATTCCGGTGAGCCTTCTATTTCCTCCCCTTGAAAGGAACACACAACAGATAATTCTTGCTCTGCCCATTTGTCTTTCCCTGGATCCTGTGGGCCTCGTCTGGATCTTTGGACCTGCCTCTGCATCCCTTCAGGTCTTCGGTCAAGGGGTGCAAGCGCCCTTGGGCTGGAACCTCCCCATCACCGCCCTGCCGCAAGGCCAGCCACCGGAATTCCCCTGGGTGTGGCTTTTTTGTTAAGGGTACCCTTTAAGATTGTTTCTATAGCCCAAAACGGCCACATAGGTCCAACAAAAAAAGGCTGCAGAGTTTCCAAGTGACCGACCATCTAGTGTTGTTAGGGATCCAGGGACCTGTGAGTGGAACCCCTTTTCCCCGGAACCCAAACAAACCGCATTCGGCAGCACGTTCTCGGCCTCGTTGGGAGGCATTTGACGGCAGGCGATCAATCGGGTGACCCTGAAAGTGTTTTGTTCCATTGGAGATTAGTATTCTGCACGAATAATTGTCCTTTGGTGCAACTTGGAATTCGTTTTTTAAAACCCCGTTTAGGCTCGTTTGAGTCAGTGATCCTGCAGAAAGCAATGTCACTCACTAACATCCACATGCCGTTCATGTTCCTTTGAATGCATTTAAAGGCCAGAAGGCAGAACCAAACAACAATGTCCCAAAGGCTCAAGGCGCTACTTGAGAAGCCCACTCTTGTGTTACGAGCGTGCTGTGCAGGCGACGGCAGTGGTGCTCTTCAAGTGCCTCTTATGCTGCACTGATGTCGTGTCTGATTGATCCTGACCATACTAATCAGGGGTGGGAAAGCCTGCCTTTCAGCGGGAATTGATTCGTTGGACGTGTGGTCTAACATTTGTGGTCCTCTGGATAAATCCAAGCATCAAAGGCTTGGATCCGGGGAACTCACCTGCTAAGAGGCGAACTGCCCACTCAGATGCGGATCACCCCGAATTCAGATGTTCCTCCTTGTCTTGACCAGTTGATGCTTGCCACCTTTGGTCTGGTATGTATGCAATCCCCCGCCAAAAGCATAACACATGCTGTGTTCCTTTAAAGTCCCCCCCCCGCCCGAAGTCTGGGTACCTACACAAAAATACACACTCAATGTTAGTGGGAGGGAGGGCAGCTGTTTGTTGGCGGTGTCCTCATGTTTCTTTGCGTTCACCAACGGCACCGTATACGACTAATTGTGCTTTGAACACACGTGGCACATTCAAGGATAGGAGCGACCATGCAGAACAGCCATTGGCGTTCCCATTTTGAACAACCCACTTTCCTGGAAGGCTATGAATTCTGAACATGGAACTAACAACAAAGTGGTTGGTGGACATGAATTGCCCCAACGACGTCCGCCAAATCCCCCATTCAAATTCACACCCAGATTTCGGGGATCCTCGCGAGCCGAGGATGTTCCCTCCGGGGGTGTCGCCGGGCCAGTCGGTGCTGGTACAAGGCCGGCGGGGTGTCGAGGATTTGGCCGCCTTTCCCGAGTGCCACCCGAGCGGCCACCCGTTTGGAGCGGATAATGACCACAAAGGGGCCCGAATTTGGACAAGAATCGCCCTCATAAACCTTGGTTTGCTGGAGTTGTAGCCTGATTTTTTACAAACCCAACTGAGGCTTTACTGCCCCTATCAATATACTGTGGCGAAAGAGGCGGTCATGTGTTCAATTCAGTCAGTTTTGAAATCAACATGCGGAACCTGAGAGGGTCGGTCGGAGAGTTATTTCCGGTTGACTGTGTGTGTATATTTCATGCTGGCCGATTGTTCGAATTGATCTTTTTGGATTCCCACAAGGACCATAAGTCGTTGTCCTGTTTGAATGAGATATTTTGTGCGCTTCCCGCTTGTCCCAGCACTGTTCTCTCCTTCTCTTTAGACGGATTTCCCTTCAACATCAACCAAATATCATTGTTCCGGATGGTCACTTAGCAGCTAGACGAAGTCTGAGGCAGGTGAGCTGTGAGTTCAAGCGACACGAGGAATCAAAGGCCTGAGTCTCACTTCTGAGGTTCTCGGCCTGGCACATGAGAAGATCACTTGAATAGTAGGAACCCGTGGTAACTAAACCGGCCCGGTGTTCTTTTTGGAGGTCGTTTTTCACTTTTGCGGGCCGGGGGGGAGGGGGGTACTGCCACCCTGTCTTGGCCAACTTGATGCTGCTCCAAGACAGGTGCCACTGAATTAATCATGGTCCATGGCTTACTATAGTTGGGTAAATGTAGATGGCACAACCTCCCCATTCAGGCTGAATCGGCAAATTCCAATGTCAGATGGGGACAATTAATCTTGACCGTGGCTCAAATAAACAACGAATCCCAGTACACACACAGTAGTGCACGTCACTACACAGCCTGTGAGCTTGTCCCAAAACGATGATTCGTCAGGGTCACTGAACTGGGGTTGCCGTGATAGACTTACATCCGCGGCGTTCCCTTTTGGAGAAATCGACCACTGAAGTCGGGCGTATGATCCAACCATGTAACTTTCTTCGGTGCTCGCTTCATGCGAGCTCTTGCTCTTGCGCTTTCTTGAGGTCCCAACGGCATCTTTTCTGTCCAGGCGCCGGGCAGCTGCAGAGCGCGAGAGAGAGAGAGAGATACCCACATGTTGCACATCATTGTAGATGCATCTTTGTATATAAAGATATATGTCATACATATGTGTTTGTATATGAATACATATGTATTATAAAGTGATATAAAGTGCATACCTATGACTGTCTCATCCAAATCTTGCAAACATATTTTTTGTTTGCACCTTCGCCTTAACCTAAACAAAAAGACACCCCAAATGAACAATCACCTAACTGAGAAGGCTTGCAGCCCGGGTTGCTCCGAACCTCAAAGTACCGACCAAGCCGCGATGACAGCAAATTTGTTCTAAGGAATGCAACCCTGTCTCCGTTACGGTCATGGCAGTCAGTGAATACAAGGGGCTGAACAACTACTAGTAGTTTACTTACTCCTAATATGACTAGTTTTTTTTTTTTTTTTTTTAAGTACCTCACCCATTCCAATTTAGTTAGCGGCTTACATTAAGGTGTGCTTCCTGTGTTCGGCCAACTCTTTAGTTTTAAAGCACACTTGCTCCCGCATTGCCAATATGTGTACCGCCATCCCGGGGCCCTTCCTTCAATCCAACCCCAGACCTGCTCTTCTTGGCCTCCATTTCACCATGTTTGGTTCAGCCCCAACGAAAGCCGAAGAAAAACAGAATATGGGATATGTCAAGTCCAAGAAACAAACTCCCCCAAGAAATGTATATTCATGTGTTTAAAAAAGAAAAGAACATGAAAAAGCAAAACCTATTTGCTTGACTCACCGCTTGACCCACAGCTTGACCCACCGCTGGACCCAGCGCCGTCGCCGGCCACCAGGCGCCGATGGAGGTCACGCCGGGCATGGTCATCATGGTGCAGCCGCCGCCGCCGCCCATGCCTGGCACGCCAACGGTCTAGGCGAATGCGCGAGTTTCGGGTGCCCTCCCAAAGGAACTGATCGATGTACATTGGGCAGTGGGCAGTGGGCAGTGGGTATGTGTCAAGGGGTTTGGACCGACCGCGCAAAATGGATTGTGGCATGCGTTTCACATACGTATCGAGGTACATATGAACATATACATATATGTGTACAGCGCATGCTTGACCTCAACGATCGGAAGAATGTTTGTCAGCACATGTTCTTGTGGGATGATGCCTACGAGTGGAATCTGGAACGTGAGGATCCTGAAATTGATCCAGAGAAGCAGCTTCCGCAGCACAAATCTGTGCACGTTCTAAGGAGCTTGCAGGTTGGGTGCTTGTCTCGTGGCGAAGAACAGTTTTGCCGATGAATAGCTCATGTCTGAGCTTGGCGCAAACCTGGGAGGCGAAAGGCAAAAGTCCGCGAAAGTGTGTGTGTGCCGAGTCCTTGTGTTGAGGGGCCATTTGTTTTCTCACGCAGGGGGACCATCCACTTAGCGATGAACCAACGAAGCGTCCTCATCAAATGCATATATCAGGGCTGACCGCCCTGACGTACCTGCAAACCGTATGTGATGCGAAGTCTACTTGCTCCCCCCCGGAACTGCTGTTGCTTGCTCCCTGTTAAGGAAGCTAGACAGTGGCCATTTTGACTCGACCTGCACGTTTCTGTCGGCACTCGTGGCATATCACTTGACTTGTCGGCCTTCTCAGGGAGTTTAAGTGTTTTTGAGGGGAACCGACTTCTTGGACCTGAGTTGCTAAAGAAACCTTTCAAAAGCATCGTGGTTGGGTTTTGTTCTTGTGGCCTTTTGCCTTTGCTTCTTTGCTCTTCGTCCGTCTTCATGCGCTTGGCCCCGTTGCGAGATGGCTACTTCCGCTGGCTGTCTACTTTGTTCCTTTCCTTGTCGACTTGTTCGTGTTCTTCCAGTTGGTCCATGTTGGTCCCATTGCGCGATGACATCTTCTTCCTCTTGCTGGTCACCTTCTTTGTGCCTTCCTCGTCTTTGTTTTTCCAAAACCAAGCAAACCAGTCCCAACTCAGGTTTCCGCGGGCGTGCAAAATTCCCAACACCCCTCAGCTTCTACCCATGCCCCTGAAACCCCAGGTCATAGCTTCACAAGTCGAAACATCAGGTTGTTTTTCCCGCGTACGCAAAGCAGAAACGATCCTCAAACCCGCATCTGCGTCTGGCAAAAGCGCTGCGCATTCATTGCCTCAAGCCTCTCGCGAAAGCAACCTCGGAGCGCCAGAGCCCCAAGAAAGCCCTCGCTTCGGCCGCAGTCGGGCGAAGAACGCCGTGCACATATCGTTGAGTATCCGTTTTGGCAGTGAATATATTATGAACATAGATCCCTGACCATGGGCACAGTGAAGTCTTTAGCTTCTACATGTATTATCATGTATTTGTGCACCATGTGTATGCTACAATGACAGATATACAAATATATATATATATATATACGTGCATAGCTACGTCACAAGTAAATCATGCCGAGGGCTTGGTGAAAAGATACAATAGCTCGCAAGGCCTCGGCACCTTTGGCCCTGTCAGGCAAGATGCTGACGCTCTTCTCCACGCGTAATCCACGGTGGCTGACACTGTCCCCGCGCCGCTGGGTATGAATCAGAGGGGTCAGGTGAGTCACATGCTCGTTTCCTCCTGCTGGATAGGTCCTCCTCCTGTCTTTTGCCTCTCTTTGTTGGCAGTCATGTTTCCTTATCGTCTCCGGCTCCCTTCAGTTTCCTTTAGCATTTGCTCTTGCAGCTTGCCGTGATCCCACAGGCCCGGCCCCCCCCCCTCCCTTGCGGTGCGAGGGATGCAGAGATGTCCAAATAAATGACACCATTGCGCAGCTTCCGGAAGGGCCGGGGGCAAAACCAGATTCCCCATGATGAATGAATGAATGAATGAATGAATGATATATATATATATATCTGTTTGTGGGATCTCGTTCTTCGGGTTTGTGGGTAATCGATTCTGAATTCTCTGATGTTGACGTGTGCTGACAGCTGTTCAATTGTAATTCCAGCAAGGTGGCATTCGTGACCAGGTGTAGCGACTGGCTCCTTCCGAAGTCGCCTTTCTTGACCAACAGTCGTCCCTTTGTGCATGGACATGCTGCTCAAGATCGATCCCCAAGACCCAAGACTTGATCCAAGACCCTCCCAATGACCCGGCAACACTGGGAACAAGAGTTTTGCCTTTGAACAAGCTTGGGTCAAATTCCTCTGAGGCCTTTGGGAGCACTGAGTCGACTGAATGGAGCCGTGACTAAGCCCTTCAGAAGCTGCCCGTTGCCTCACCCAAAACTTCACTGCAATTGCCTGGGGGTAAAGCGAGCTCACTGTGATGCAGGCCCTTGACTTGGACTCATTTTCGATTTTTGGATGTAGAATTGTCAGATGTGAGCAATGGCCAAGAAAATCTGTACTGGTATCTACGAACATGAGCCGAACTCACCGAATTTTCCTGTCAGCGGGGAAGACAGTGACATTGACGGTGGCCCATGTAGCACTTGGCATCCAAGAGCGAATGGAACGCCAAACCATTTTCCCCAACCCCTTGTTTCCCCAACGCAGATGAATGGGAGCTCCCTTTGTAGATGGCTTCAAATTCAAAGGCCGCACACCTCTCCCATAGACACCTGGAGTAGCGCATCTCGCGGCCAACTTGCTAGCTCCCCTGCAACATGGGATTGTCCCAGACGTAATTGAGTCCCTTTTCAAAAGTATGTGAATTTTGTGTGCGGCGGGGTTTGAGTCTTGGGTGTAAATACTGCCGCGGGGCCATCACCGGGTGCTAAAACGGAATTAATGTTTTTGTTTGTTTTCTCCGACTTTTCCAGAGCTTACCGTTTACCCCCAATAAGAGGGTTGTTTGCACCCAGCGGTATTCAGCACCCAGCGGTTTTAGCACCCAGGGAGCGGCACTTGGTCTCGTAGGATTGTACTGATGCCTGAAAGGCACGGTCAAATAGATCGCAAATGAGTTCATGAGCTTGCCAATCCGGTGATGAAGCGAGCCAACTCCCGTGACGGTCCCTTACTTGGTGGGGTTCCCTATTCTTTTTCTTTGGGAATTATAGGGCCCAGATAGATGATTTTACCGGTGGGAAAGGACGCGTCCCATTTGTTGCATCCACTTCACTCGTTTGCTTTAATTGGCTGCGAAAACAAGTCGAGTCCTATGTCCCACAACTCCCTGGGAAGCTTAAGCTCTAATAAGGTATCCGAAAAGAAATGGCCCCCAAAGTTTCATGTCTACAGCTGATAAGCTTGTGGACAGATGTTGACATTACTGGCTCAACATCCTTGATTTGTTTGGCTTCCCAGCTGCTTCGCCTCTGCTATTCCCAATGTTAGTTTGGCAAATCAAGTGAGTAGAAGATTTATGAGGCAGATGGAGGCATCACTACACTCAGGCACAGGATATATATATATATATATGCTACCCCCCCCCCCCCAGGGGACCTACCTTTTGGTTGCCTCTCCAGTGAATGAATTGCCCATCTAGGACTGGGAGGAACGATCTCTCAACTAGGACCAGGACCAAATGAGACTAGAACCCAGGATCTCTCAACTGGGACTAGGACCAAACTAGGACTAGACGACCCACCTCAGATTCTTACAACTAGACGACGAGTGGCCCGGAAGCATAGAGGCAAGTTAGTTGTTAGCGATCAAGTAGTCTAGTCGCGACAAGCTGCACACAGACAGATTCCGCTTTTTGTCAGTAGCTCGAATATGGCACTAAAAGTTGAGGAATTTCATGCACTTCTCAGTGCAGGTTCTCCCTGCTCATCGCGATCTTGCCCACCATCACGTCGCGCGTGTAGATCGAGTGGCTCGGCATGTGGATCTCGATGATGCATACCATGCTTCGGGCGGCTCCAACATGAACAAGACTTCATGCCCGTCAGGCTCCACAGGTCGCACAGAACAATCTGCGTAGTGCTGCCTGGCTTGCAAGCGCTGAGATTCCGACAGAGGCAAGGCTCTGCTTGACGCAAGCCCCGCAGAATCTGGCCAACGCGAGACCCCAAGTCGTGGCCGAGCAGAACCACCAGGATGTGCGGGTGCAGCGAGCCGCGTCCTCGTAAGGCAGGTGCGAACACGTCCCTTTTGAACACAGTGACAAAGTTTGTGTCAAGAGTTGAGACCCAAAAAGATACCAAATCACGAGCAACCTTCTGCGATCCTTGAGTTTCCAGCGGACCACAAAAGGCCGCGACATCGCCGAAGACGCCGCCGCTCAAGGAGGTGCCCATGCCATCCTCGAACTCTCTAGCGTAGCCCACGCGGTAGCTTTCCCGCCATAAAGGCGGTAGCACGCCCAGCACCTCCTCGAAGAAAATGTCCATCATGAGAGCAAAGAAGCGTGCCTGTGACACTGGATCTCGGGCAATTACGCGCCGCATGGCAGCTGCCGTAGGCATGTCTGGGGCTTCCTGCGTCCAGAGCAACTGCAAACTCCTCCACCTCCGCCACTCCATCGTTCTGCAGATGCAGTTGTAGCAGGAGAGGAGAGCGGACATCAGCCAGATTCGGAGTCACGAACAAGTGGGGAGTGCCGTAGTGTGACTGCGAAACCTGATCTGGCTGCGATGGCCCTCCATGCCAATGATGCTGGCCGTGGCCTGCAGCACGCCTCCTAAGGCCCGCTTCAGCGGCAGGTCCACCGCGTCGTCCTGCAGTAACTTGCGGACGTCGGCGGATTCGCCGTGCAGGGCCATGGCCTTCAGCAGGTGCTCGACCGAAACACCGGCAATAAGCTTGCAGTGTTTGCCGAAACCTCGGCGCTGAACGTGCGCTTTGGTTGCCCGCATGAGGTGAAGTCTGCGGCTGACATCGTACATCACAGGGAGTAAAGACTCCGAAAGTGACCACCTCGGCAGCATGGGGCGCGCGGCCGCTTCGTCCTCGCACAAGATGTAGTGCAGCTCCTCCCGCAGCAAGAGGTAGCGAAACACTTCGGGTGCGTCCAGAGCAGTGTCGCGTCGTAGAAACGGCACTCCGTCTCCCCATGGAAACAAGTCCGGATACGCCATCGCCCAGGTGGAGGGCTCAAACATGCTCGCAGGCTCTGCTCCAGATGGCACGACGAGCTTGGACGGCCTCACATGAAACATGCTGGCCTCCGCCCTGCGCTCGCTCTCGGCAGTGCCGCGTGCCAGGCTCTGCACTCGGCGGATCTGGTTGATCGTGCGCCGCTCGTGCACGCCTTCACGCCCCAGAAGCTGACGATCTCCGTCGGGCACCTGTCCGTCCATGTCGTTGTTCGAGCGATTGCGCACCAGCTCCTCCGCATGGCTACGCCGAGCGCCCGGGCGGCGTTCGCACAGCTCCTCTAAGTCGCGAACGACACGGACCCACTTGTTCTGCTCGTCTGCGCCATCATTCAAGCCGACGATGGTGGACAGCATGTGGCCTCGGTAGCAAACGCACATGCAAGAACAGCACTACGAGACAGGAACCTAGCCCTGATGCGTCGGAAAAGTCCGCCAGCATCAGCAATCTAGCCAACAAAGTTTCAAAGCACCAGAAAAAAAAAGATAACACCGAACCTGGCCTGTGTCTTCTTCCGCAGCGCTATGCTCAGATCCATGCGCTGCAGGCTGTGTCGTCTCATCCTTTTCCGACTCCTCATCTTGGCCTTGCGCATCCGCGGGTCCCTTCTGCAACAGCTCGCGAGCCAGATAGCTGTCCTCCGAAGTCTCCACGAAGCAGCCCTGCATGGGCGACTCTGAGCAGTGCCGCAGCTCCACATTGCGATAATATGGGCTGCTGCGCTGTAGGCAGGACACGGCAGCGTCATACTCGTCTCGGGGACATGACAGCAAAGCCGAGCTAGCAAGTGTGTCCTTCTTCTGGCCCACGAGAACGAACAGGATGGACTCCTGCATGTCCGACTCAGGGGGCGGCAGCGTAGTCCGTATGGCGCTGGGCTGCGCTTGTGGCAAGAAGATGCTGTTGCCGACGAAGCCCCGCTGTCGCTCCTCCTTCTGCAGGTTCGCCGGCTGCAGAACTGTCACTTGCAAGCAAGCCCGGATCATGGGCAGCAGCCTGCGTGTGCCCGCGGCCAAGTTCCGTAGCGGCTGCATCTGCCTACCCATCCATAGATCATTGGCCAGGCTGAAGCGAGGCAGGGTAAGCACGGAGCTGAGCAGCGCAGCACGGCAGTCCCGACATACGTCGCAGGGCTGCGTCACATCGACTGGCATGCGTCGCTTGTGCAGGAGCAGAAACTCGTCCTTGAGGAAGGGGTGCTCCACAGCAGAAGCCTTCAGCTCATCCACATCAATGTGGGGCCAGCGATGCGCGTACCGCTGCACTCCAAGCAGCCGACATAGGCGTGACTGCTGCGAAATGTGAACCTTGTCGCAGTCGTGGTCCACATCTTGCGCAAGCTCGTCGGCGCATGGGTCCCGAAAAAGAAGCAATGGCTTCAGGTCCTCCTCCCAATGACGCCTGGCGCAGACAGCACAGGCAGACTCATGACGATCTTGCTCTGGACCGCCAGGCTCGCGAAGTCTGCTGTCCGCGTTGGCGATGATCCCGCGCTGCGTGCTCATCGAAGGGGCCTGAGGTACCAGCGCAGTATGCACTAACGAAGAACACGTCATCAAAACACATACAACAAACGCGAAGCCAGCTGTGACAACTATAGGAAAAAAGCACATGCGCGCGCCTCGGGTCCTGCATGGTCCAACAAACCAATGACCTTCTTTCGATACTCAATGTAAGAAATGGAGGAGTCCACGCCAGCAGAATGGTCAGACACTATGTGGTCTTTGAAAGAAGTCCAGGAGGAGAACTGCTGGCCACAGAGTCTGCAAGCATAGCGAAGGCGGCATTCTTCTGCATCATCAGGAAAAGAAGAAAGCAGACGTCGCGACAGCGACTCACCCACCCCCGATATAGTAGGAGTGCAGTCCAGTAAATGAGCCGCGCGGCGTAATTTGGCGTCCAGGCCCACGCCGGTGGTCTGCAACAAGGAGAGGCAACCCCTGACACAGCTGTCGTCTTCAAACTTTGTTAATGTTGAAACGCATGTGGAAACATGAACTATGTTTGCAATGCTTGACCATAATGGCGCATGCCATTTTGGCTCAAGCTTTGCCCTGGGTTCTTTGAACCCAATTTGTGTGAAAAAGATTTGAGTTTGAACACCCCCGAACTAACCCCGATCAAGCAATGGCTTCCTCGGCAACCTCGGCAACCTCCTTCGAGCTGATTGAGGACCAGACGCTCACCGCGGAGGAGGTGGAAATGGCCAGCCAGGAGGCCCAGGAAATCCGCACACGCGAGGCGGCAGTGGCGGCCGGCCTGGTG